ATATGATCAAGCAACCCTCATTCCCAACTAGGTGTATTATGCACTGCTCAAAAAAATAAAGGGAACACATCAGATCTAGGATGTCTTATGTTGTGTTCCTTTTATTTTTTTGAGCAGTATACTTAATGTCATAAAGTGAAAATATTAGCAGATGTTTGTGTGCGGCGCCTAAAGATAACTTACGGATCAGGTAGAGCTAAGACACGAAGATTTGTACACAAGCACATCACTAGGTTTTTTGTTTTTGCCGAGTGAAACCTTACAGTTGTGGGTTGAGATTAGAAAGAAATCTGATCTTAGTCACATCTGTTACTTCCACCGGTGTCAGAGTATCTGAGTCCTTTTTTGGGAGCTGGGAGCTGAGTTTGTCATAATAACTAATTATGAGCTAAAGTGACTCAGAAATATCTGAAGAACTGTTTCGCCCATCAGAAAATCCCTTTATTATCTGGTTATTTCAGCTGGTTTCCTGTGATCTATCTTTGCATCTGACCTCACTTTAGTACTCTTAATTCTGGGGGGAAAACTGAGTGATATAATGCAAGAACACACTCTCATGAATCATAATCTCTCCACCATCAGTTTAAACTTGGCTTTAAGCTTACTAATATTGGTTATATGTCTCTGCTGTCGTCCTTTTCCACTGAACTTCAGATGCACAACAGTACACAAGAAAGTTAAGTGCAACATGCCTATTTTTATCCAAATGTTTACTATATTCACTGTTGACTTATTAGAGAGAAGGATGCTTAAGCACCTCTTCCCCTATGTTCTCTGTTAATGATGTGATGATGATGATGTGTTTATGTACATTCAAAACGAAAGTGCATCTGCCCAGGTTTTCAGCAAATCCCAAAGGGGGAAAAAAAAGTCGCTTGCCCCAAAGAGGGGTCCTCATCTCTTCCCTGGTACATCTGTGGCTGGGCGCCTGTGAGGAGAAGGGGGCTACACAATCACCCACAGCGTCCCAGACAGGACCAACTGCAGTCAGCCAGCGGGAACATGTGGCTTTGTCTTTCACCCATTCTTTTGGGGACCAGCTGTGGTCTGAGCGAGGCGAGTGTCAAGCCCAGTGATGCTGCTGCTATAAATATGCGTAAATGAGTGTGAGTAAGTGACAGCTGTACAGTGGACCAAGGACACACTGTCTTGGCTCTGTCAGGGCGAGCCACTCCAAAAAAGGCAAACCCAGTGTGAGAGCATTAAATGACATTTTGTTTATGCACTTGTAGCAATTTATATGTGGAATATACAGTTCAGATTTGGGTTGTAGGTTGTGGTTACCAACTTAAATATTGCTTAAAATGTGGAGGTGCTTGTAGCCTTACGACTTGGCAATTGTGGTCACTGGCTGAAATGGCTTTTTTTTTTTTTTTTTTTTTTTTTTTTTTACATTAGACTCATATTATTCATTAAATTATTACTGTTTATTCTTGGGAACAATGTGATTTTCTGAAAGTCAAAAGAATGGATGCTCCAAAATTAAGTGGATGATAACCATATGCATGTGTGTTAATATGGAGAGAGAAAAAAGACCTCCAATGTGTGTGTGCATGTGCATTGTCTGTATGTAAGTGCATGTGACTGTGTTTGTGTGCCCTTTTCAAGTGTGACCACCTGTCTTTTGTTAAGAAATAAATAAATAAACACAGGGCACACCAGCTGTCCCTGGCAGTCCGTCCCTTCAGAGGTCAAGGGCTCCCACCGCTGGCCTTGTTGAGGCGGTTGGACACTTACAACTTTTCTCCAAACTTCTTTGAAGTACGTCTAGACACACATACACACACACTCACTCACAGCCAAATGGCCAGCCTGGCTTTGAGCCTTTGAGAGGAATGCTTTATTACACCATTGAGTTACATTGCACATATCCCAGCTTGTCACCCTGTAGCTAAGCCCCATCACATGGCCCCTACTTTCTATGTGAAGGTTTTGGTCCATAAGAAACACACACACACCAGGACACCTGAGATATGGATCCTACCAGGCAGATGTGAGATGTCGGTGCCAGCATGCGCTCCAAGGCCTGCTGCTGTGGATGTTTACAGTGTGAAGTGGCCACAGCGTCGCACAGGGCCCTTATTTACTGTGAGCTAGCCAGGGCTGTTTTGAGTGTTTATGAATGATCTTGGGAGGACATTGTTTTCTTTTTGTTGGAAGTGCCTGGCTAGCGTCGCTGTGTCGTCTGTGCATAAAGTACGTGCTGGGGAGCTGGGTCAGACAATAGGCTGGGTGAGCTACTACCCATGCACACAATAGAGTAGTGGGATGAGGCAGAGGTTTGGGGCTGTGGGAATGGAGGTAGAATAGATGGGGGCAGGGACAGTTGGTTGTGGTCCTTTTCTGTACAAGTTCCCAAAATGGGTATAAATGAGCACATCTCCATTGGAATCATGTTGCAGAGCAGCTGGATTTCTTTCATGGTGTTGTAGGGAATTCTCGCCATTGAAAATGTCTAGTGAATTGGCGTTATGTGTTTATATACACATACAAATAATGTGATGTATTCTGTCAGAAGGTTGGTCCAGTGGTTTATGTGTAGTGATTTCTTTGATTTCCTCTTTTGAAAGATTGTTTTCTTGGCAATAGCTAGAGAAATGAGGAGTGGGTTTTTGTATTAGATTGGTAGGTGGTCAACGTCTGTGATATTACCAAGTAAGCTATCCAGTGCTATCCAGAGGGAATGAACTGGTTGGCAGGTCCAAGTAGTGTGAAAATAATTGTCGGTGCAACTTAGAGTGCATTGTGAGCAGATGTCTGTGTCAGTGAAACCCATTTTGAACATTTTACTTTGTGTAATATGGGTCCTGTAAATGGTCTTGTATAAGTTGAAAGTTTACATTGCTGGTCACAGAAAAGAAGTCCAGAAGTCGGAGTTGAGGGAGAGAGTTAAATCATTTTCCCATTTCAGTTTTGGTATTGCTATTGTTGAGTCAGTATTTGATGAGTTTATATAGCTTGGATATTATTTTCTTGGAGGATGTCATTTTCATCATCTCTTCAATTAATTTGGAAGGCTGTAGTGGGTTATTGGTTACACTAATCTTTGACTTACTTATGGATTTTAGCTGATTGTACTGGAGGAACTGTTCTCTCTGAACTCTGTACTTCTGGATCAGTGTATTAAATGATATGAACTGGTTATTTTCAAATAGGTGATGTAAGTGAGTGATTCCTTTGTGTTGCCATGTTGGGAAATAGATAGGGTTATTATGTAGTTGGAAATCAAGGTTGTGCTAAATTGGAGTGTATCTACATGGTGCAAGTGATGATTTAGTGATTTTGTTTACTTTCCACCAGGCTGTCAGAGTTGAGAGGATTGTGATGTTATTACAGTATTTTCTTAATAGAGTTTGGTAGAAAAGGAAGGTCTGCAACTGAGTTATTTTGGAGTAATTTTGCTCTAATTATCCATTATCCATGCACTGTTGTAACTGTCCTTCTGAATCCATTTGACTAAATACTGTAGCTGATTTGCCAAAGTAGTAATATTGGAAATTTGGTGCTTCTAGGCCAACTAGTGATTTCTTCTTTTGGAGTGTAGATAGAGAAATTTTGGGTTTCTAGTATTTCCAATGAAATTGTGAAGTTATAGAATCAAGTGATTATCTGTGGGTGTTGTGGGAAGCATTGTAAACAGATAGTTGATTTGGAGTTTTCATTTTGACAGTAGCTATTCGACCGATGAGTGAGAGAGGAAGATTGGACTAGCGTTTGAAATTATCTTCTATCTTTTTTAGCAGGGGGGTGTAGTTGAGATTAAAAAGTTCTGACAGCCTGGGGGAGATATTAATACCAAGATATTTAATGTTGCCAGTGCAGAATTGAGGGGAGGAGTCTTGAGCTGCAGAATCCCAGGCATCCTCAGAGAGTGGTAGTTTGGTGGATTTATTCCAGTTTATTGTGTAGTTTGAGATCTTAGAAAATGTGTTAATAATATGTAAAGTTTCCTGTAAAGAATTATACGGATAGTGTAAATATAATGATAAATCATCTGCATAAAGACAAATTTTATGTTCTGAGTAAGTATCTTGTATTCCTTTAGTTATATTGTTCTGTTGTATAGCTGTTGCTAGAAGTTCGATGGTTGATACATAGAAAAATAAGCCTTGTTTAGTTTGTTGTAGCCGATCAAGTTGAGTTTAAGCCATAATTACACAACAAAGGTTTACCTCCTTTGGAGGGTAATGACAACAGAATATGAACAATGGGAGCCCATCGTGAAAAAGCTCCGTCCTTGAGCTCAGTTTATGGTTTTAGAGGGATAGTGCAAGTAAGACCAGCAATATTATTATGTTCTGTTGTCTCTGTACACACCGCAGTGCTTGCCCCCACACACTGTCTTCCTGATTGTTGCTGCTGTGTGTCAGATGAGGGCTCTTGTACAATATGCTTAGTAAAGCTTAAGTAAAGTGGATAACAGTCTAATTTTACTTCTCTTATTAAATTAAAAACTCTTATGCTGATGATTATACTGTATGTCTGATAATGATATATGATTTAAAACAGACTACTGAGGTGAGAAACTAGTGTGGAGGTACAAAAAAAGGTTGTAAATGAACAAAATCCACACAGACAGACATTTGTTCCATTTAATTCTATGCATAATCTTAATAAAGACCTAAATCAAGATTGTCACATTTCCACAGCGTGCGCGCACACACACACACACACACACACACACACACACACACGCACACTCCAAAAGCATCAAAGAAAATGCACAGACAGATATAGATCAAAGTAAATGGCCTCAATATCTAAGCAATGTCAATTCTGCATAAAGATTGTCCTCTAATCTCTACACCACTAACACTGAACTGATTGAGTTCTATAAAATATACCTTTCTTATTAAAAAATTATATTAAATTCTAATGGCACTTCTACAAATTCTATTAAAAAGATTTCTGTATGACATTTAGCAGCTTTTTTT